GTACATGAGAGTGTGAATAGAGTTGTTTTCTTTCATTTTCAACAAAAAAATGATTTTAATCTAAAACTTTGTCCTATAAAGCGGGGGGTGATTTGCATTCTTTGGGTCATACTGACTCTTTAAATCCCATCTGCAAGATCTACTCACGTCTCTCTCTTTCTCTCTCTGTTCCAACTTTCCTCACTTTCCATTTGTCAACTGTAACCCGGCTCTCCAGATGTGCCCAACTCCCCGGGGAATGCAAAGTGCACATCAGTTGGCGAGGACTCTGCCGTGATCACATGGGACCCTCCCTCGTTCGACGGTGGCGTTCCTGTTAAAGGTACCATCATCACGTGTTTCCCTCCCAGGAGGAAACTGCACTTTACGATCCACTCAGTTCATTCTGTGGCTGTGATTTTTTTCTCCCTCCTTCCTCCAGGGTATCTGATGGAGAGGAGGAAAGTCGGCTCATCCAGGTGGACCAAGCTGAACTTTGACGTTCACGAGTCCACCACGTACGAGGCGAAGAAGATGATTGAAGGTGTGCTTTATGAAATGAGGGTGTTCGCAGTCAACGGCATCGGCGTGTCTCAGCCCAGCGCAACCACCGAGCCCTTCATGCCCATCGGTGCGTCGCCACATGTCATTAGCACAACAGCTAATTACCAGAGGCTTTTCACACGGCGCTCATTTCGCCGTCGCCTAATCTGCCTTCCCATCCCATTTACCCTGGATATTAACGCATTAATTAGCTCTCTTCTCCCTCAGCCCCCACCAGCGAGCCCACTCGTCTCGTGGTGGAAGACGTGACAGACACGACCTGCGCGCTCAAGTGGCGACCTCCAGAAAAAATTGGAGCGGGCGGCATTGATGGCTACATCATCGAGTACTGCAAAGATGGAGGTAAATATAAAACCCAGGACTGAAAAACAGGGGCGGACTGTGGCAAAAAAGTGGCCCGGGAATTTAGTACCTGACTGGCCCATTCAAGGTCCCGGCTGGCCGATGGAGGCGGAAACAACAAACGTCATCTCAGGGCACTGTACAAAATCTAAGGATGTAATGTTGAGGAATTAGTAAAGTTATTAAGATAGCAGAGCAGCAGTTAGCTCGCAGGCATTGACTCTCAGAGAGTTCCATATGGTCGTTTTTGACTCATTTTGATTTTACCCCCAAAAATAACATTATTATAATCTAATGTGGTATCATTTTCTTTTACCAGCACATGAACTGTGTGAATTTAAAGTATTTTTTTCATTCCAATATACTGTTATTGTATATTACAACATAATTAAATAAATAAAAAAATAAATAAATACAAATAAAATAAAGTAAAAGAAAATAAAAATCCAACTGGGCAAAGTTATTTGTGAAACCCACAATCATTTATGATTTTTATCTTTTAAAATGTCAAAGTATGATGTAAATTTCTAAAACTGATGTTAAAACATTTTAAGAAACACAGTTTTATAAAATTATCAGCTACTGAGCACAGTTTGGACCTAGTCCACACATGATATTAGCTTTATTTAACATCTAAATGCATTTTTTTAAAAGTTAGCGAACTAGAAAAAAATACAGCCACCTACATGACTACCATCCTCCTCCCYGTCACGTTGTTCTCCAGATGTAGGTCCAGTGAGGATGAGGATGATGCACCAGCAGAAAATAAATYCCAGTTTCTGACACTTGGCTGAATTTGCTTGTTGAGGCTTTTTCTTTTCACTCAATTTTTGTTCTCTTCCCTTACGTTTATTCTCCATTTTTGCTCTTCTTATTTTTATTATTATTCGTTTTCCTCTTCTTCCTCTTCTTCATCAAACTTTTCTTCTTCTTCAGTATTTGTTGGTGGATGGTAAACAATGAATTGGTGCATTATCACCATCTACTGGTATTGAGCGCAACTACACAACTTTTTTTTTCTCGCTGCCTGCGCCGGCCCGTGATGCTCCGGCCCACCGGGAACAGTCCCGGTACTCCCAATGGCCAGTCTGCCCCTGCTGAAAAAGTTGGGACTTTGTGTAAAGAGTAAATAAAAACCAAACGCWAAGATCTTCAAATCTCAAAGTTATYGTTCTAAACAACATTTATGTCCAACGTTAAAGCAGATTTTCCTGGTTCCAACAGGAGACCAGTGGATTCAGGTCAACGAGAAGCCGGTGGAACAGAACCAGTTCCGGGTCAAAGGTCTCCCAGTGGGGGAGAAGATGCTGTTCAGAGTGGTGGCCATAAACATCGCGGGRCGCAGCCCCCCCGCCACTCTGTCTCAGGCCGTCACCATCAGGGAGGTCGTGGGTCAGAGACGCATTTAAACCCAATTATATTCTGAGTTATGTCTGCCCACACTCTTTCATAAATCTATAAAGGTTTTCTTTGTCCAACATCCAGAGAACCCAAGGATTCGTCTTCCTCGAAACCTGAGAACAAAACTCATCACTCTTGTGGGCGAGAAGGTGAACCTGGTCATCCCGTTCCAGGTCAGTCTGAGCTTTTTCTGAACTAACTCTAATAAGTGTTGGATCTTTTCACCAAGTCTTTGCACTTACAAATGGTATGATGAATTAAAATGTGTACCTTGTTTACACACTGTATGTCCTGAAAGACGCGCAAATCTATTTTTCTCACTTGAGTCACAAAACATCTTCTTTACGTCTCAATTAGATTGCAACGTTGTTTCTTTTTTCAACCCATTCTCACTCCTGACTCGTCAACATATTGACGCTTGGTCAGGTACCGTCTGCCTCCAGTTTTGGTGGCGTCGGGTACCCCCTCGCGTCACTTATTAACGAGATGAGACGGAGGAGGAGCGCGTTGTCATGTTTTTGAAAAGAGTAGGAAATGGGCGACAACTAATTATCCCAGACTCTAAATTTAACTTCTGTTAGCCCTATCCTATCCCCGACCTCAGCACCTAAAATTAACCATTAATCCAGATCCCTCATTTTAACCACAGACCCCCAACCCAAAGACCCCTATGTGGTGCTACCCAGAAAAGCCGCAGGCGGCAATGACTGATACAAGGGTATGGGATAAATCTTGTGCCAGTAGGAACTGAATTTGAATCGCTCAGTTTGAATCTGAATGTGCAGAATTTGAAATTGAATGCATTGGTTTGAAACTGAATTTTATTAAATAGAAACTGAATTTAAAGTTTTGTATCTGAATTTATTTGCTTTGAAACTGTATTTTGGTTTATTAAAAATTCACTTTCATTTCCATAATTCAGATTTTTGTGTCACATCCTGGTCCTTGAGAAAGCCAGGCAGAGTAATCAAACACAGATCCACAGATTTATGTTTCACTTTGGTGAAGTTTCCCTTCTGTATGTAACAGAGTTGATGSAATCCACTGTAAAAGTGACAAAAACAGACAGTTATTTTGATTAATTTTACCCATATGTGGAAAATGTTACATTTACATCATGGATCACATATTGATCAGGTGCTGCTGCTGACTGATCCATGACTGGATGTGTTTCCTGTGGAGACAAAAGACACTTATTTTTCACGCATTCATATCCAAAGAAATCCCAAAAAGGACTTTTTCGCTTTCTCTGAGATTTTGCTGTCATAATTTGGCAGATGAGTGATTGTAAACAAGTGTTGTTACAAACCATGAGGTGCCGTAAGCTGCCCACAGCTAATGTGAAACTCCTTGATTTGAAATAAAAAAATAAAAAAATAAATGATTTGTTTAATCAGTTCACATGGCTCAAAATAAACTGACAAACACTAAAACTAAGGTTATTCTACTTTTAATTTTAGTTAGTTTTGTAAAAAGATTATACAGTTTTAGTTAATTGTTTTTTCATCGTTACACTTTTTTATTTTAGTTAACTAAAATGTTTTTTTTTCAATTTCAATTTTTGTTATTTAGTTAATTTTAGATTTAAGTTAACTATAATAACCCTGGAGGTACCCGATGCGGAAAAACTGGATGCAGATGGTACCTGACCAATTCAGGAGTGAGAACGTGTTGCTGTTTTTTTTTGCAGTTTTGCAGTTTTGCAAGCTGAGCACATAAAAATATGCTTTCGTTTTTTAACTGGTTGCTCAGACTGCAGTGTAGGGGTCACCTCGAGTCAAATTATCAAGGAACTATCTTGGACTCTCAGTCCTCTGATGGGCCTTCGAA